CTATACAAATCAATGTCTAAGTCAAAATTAAAATAGTGAGAAGGCGTCCCGCTGTCTCACGCAGGAGAACAGAGTTCGAATTCCGCCCTTTCTGCTGGGATGGTGCGTTCGATCTTCTCAGTTTGAGCCTTGCCTAAAGGAAGGGTCGAAACCCGCCCTCTGAATTATGTCTTTGGGGGTGTAGAACCTGTACTTGGCCCTACTGCTGTACTGGCTTCTTTACTGTGAGAAAATTGTTAGAGTGCCTCTTGTGGGTTTTGGTACTGTTTTGCCATTCCCTGTTTTATTTTTTGCACGTGTTAGTAGGACGTCAGTGGTAAGTCTTCAACCCATGTTCTTTCCTTCTATTGTCTCTGTCTGTTTGTCTTGCTTTTACCCAGTACTTGTCCGTTGTTGTGCTTCTCTCTCACTCACTCACAACACTTGGAGCCTGTTGTTGAGCCTCATTCTGTCGGTTTGTTTCTCTTTACTCAGTACAACTCGAGATGAGCGGAGTTGAGTCACGACGCGTCACATTTCGCTCGCTGCGAACTGACACGTTTGAAACCCGAGTTTGATTTCCGATTGGGGAGAAAATTTTAATTGTTATCGTGTATCTTTCAGCTTGGATGTTCTATCCCTCTCAGCCAGGGTTAGCACTAACAGGCAGTAGCGGAAGCTAAACTCTCAAAAGATCTAAACTATGTCGATGAGGACTTGGAAAAACAGTAAAAAGATTTTTAAAACCTCACCACAGGTTTTTTTTAATTGACTGACTTATGAAATTAACTTACTAGTTGGATAGAGATATTTTAATCTAACTATCATCTCCGTTCTTCGTACAGGCTATTTTCCTTTGAGCCCCGGTTGTTCCAGTCTAGCAAATACGAAGCAATCGACCTCCTAAATTAATGGTCAATGTTTTTATTTATTGTTCATTCATAATGATGTATACGCAAGTGTGGGTGTGTATGTATGTATATGTGTGTATGTGTGTGTGTGTGTGTGTGTGTGTGTGTGTGTGTGTGTGTGTGTGTGTGTGTGTGCGTGCGGTGTGGTGTGGATGTGCACATGAAGAGCGCCTAGAGCTGTGTGTATATTGAAATAGGCGCAATAAAGATGCACTTTCATTATTAGATTTACAATCTTTTCATCGAACTTTTTCTTATCTATTTCTCCTGTCAGTTTGATGTTCGCGCTGTTAGGCCACCCGAGGACGCCACTTGTAGGGCGTACTTTTTTCTTTCCCTCTCATATTCCCGTTTGCCGGTCTTGCTTTTCCCCTGCGCTAAATGCTCGTGAGTGTGTTGATGTGCTTCATTTTACTCAAACCAAAACCTGCGTTTGTGGAGCTGGGGTTAGGCACTTTGCCACACGCACAGAAAACCCGAGTTCTGTTCCGGGTGGGCAGAATTTTTATCGATTATCTCGGTCTTTTTGCAGGGGCGATATTATTATCTCTCTCAGAAAGGGGTGGTCCTGTCAGATAAAGTCGAAACATGCCTCCTATATGGTCAAAATTGTGTTGATAGGGACGTGAAAACACCTACATTTATTATCTCATGCAAACACTCCCCCCCCCCCCCCACTCCACCCCCAGCCAGCAAATACGGAAACACAAAAAACAACATTTGAATAAACAATTAACTAAACAAACCCACTAACAAACCAACAAACCAACAAAGACGCAAACTAATAAACAAGCAAGCAAACAAATGTGAGGCAGCGTGGTGGAATCAGGCTCTCGTCAAAATAATCAAAATGAAGAAACTTGCATTTTTCTGCAGGTTTGTGAATTTTTATCAAATTTATGTTTTTTTGGTTCAACACCTTTCGTGCCCTTTAAAGAACTCATTTCTGTGTCGATTTTTCTGAAAAGCGTTGATTAAAGGTACAATAAATGAAAATTTTCAGTTGCAACGGACTCTTAAGCTAAGGACATAACTAATCTTTGGTGGCCATTTTCTCACTAAATTTACCTCTGAAAACAGGTGACCCCCACCACCTTCATTCGCAAATATCTCGACTTGTATTCAAAATAAATGGATATTGTTTTCATCCAAATAAAGACAAGTGAACAAGCTTTAAGATGATACCAATAACTCTACATGTTCAAAAATTGACGAGAGCCTGATTCCATCACGCTGCCTCACAAATAGATGAACAAACGAAAATATTTCAGAAGAGCTCGCTAAGATGATATTCATGCTGTGACAAAGTTTCACAAGCTGGTCTGTTCTGGCTTTATCGGTCTGGAAAGAAGCAGCCCGTCTCGTCACTAATCTGAAGTGCGTTGGTTGAGCTTTAGGGTCTATTACATCTTGTCAATGAAGAGTTTTGTATTGCTCAGATGGTGTAACGCACCCTGTTAACGCATGGATATTCTTAATGGAAAGGGTAAATTTAGTAACGCACCCTGTTAACGCATGGATATTCTTAATGGAAAGGGTAAATTTAGTAACGCACCCTGTTAACGCATGGATATTCTTAATGGAAAGGGTAAATTTAGTAACGCACCCTGTTAACGCATGGATATTCTTAATGGAAAGGGTAAATTTAGTAACGCACCCTGTTAACGCATGGATATTCTTAATGGAAAGGGTAAATTTAGTAACGCACCCTGTTAACGCATGGATATTCTTAATGGAAAGGGTAAATTTAGTAACGCACCCTGTTAACGCATGGATATTCTTAATGGAAAGGGTAAAGTGTAATCCAGGAGGATACAGTCGAAATAGCTTCAGATAAATAGGCCTACCCTTTTTCGAAGAGACAAGTGTCTGTCTTAGATAGGTGGACATGTTACATAGTGGCATTGTAATGGAAAAGATAACCACAAAAAAACACAAGAGGGCAAAAGTGAGGTGGCCGTTTTAACAAGTGACGATATTATACACGAGGCCATGAGAACCAGTCCGACTGCACTTTTCTGTCTACCACCTTCTTTACATGCACGCACGCACATACGCATATTCTATGTGGGCTCACTCACTCCCTGGTTTTGCTGAGTTATCAAGAAAGTAGAAATTTCCCAGAGAACTGTTGAAATATTTTTATCGTGACACAAAAAAAGATTATTGATCTAATTTAGAAATCGAGTGAATTTCGTAAGACAAAAGCTTGAGTTTCCTACAATTCTTCCTTTCTAAAAAGAATCAAACGGCTCAGGTCTTGAATAAAAAAGGTTGAAATTGCAAGGCTTCGACGCCAGAATAGGTTGATAAATGGGCAAAGTAGCGCTGCTATTGTCATGGGAGCAGTTATAACAGACGTTACGCCCCATAATTTAACGTTTTAAACCGGTGGATTATGTGATCCTGGCTCTCTGTACGGCTTGATAAACTCACTGTGTTATTGCGCTGATTAGGCTTTTACCTTCTAATGGACCCGGGCTTGTTGAAGCACTGAATATTGTTTCCTTTATCGCTACTAGCTTGACAACAGCAAAGAAAAACCCGAGGGATAAATTATTCAAACGGTTCGTGAAAAGGGCTAAGAGTTCTAACCCCCTAAAGGACCACTTAGCTGGATGACGGCGTAGGTGTTGCACTGCGGTAATTTGAAGACAGACATCGCACGGGCCATCGGAGAACTGCTCGCTTGCGTGACTTCTGCGAGTTTCCTTTTGCTTCTTTCTTCACTGTAAGTCTAGCGTGGTTGAAAGGAGGAGACGATAAGCCCCACCACAGGTAGTCCTAAGATTCCCCGCTTGTACGGACTGGATCTTATGTCATTAAGGGAAAAGGTACGTTACTCTGTGTCGCTTTTCCTTTATTTCCGTTGCAAATTGGACGCTTAGTTTCTGGTTCAGATAATATTAGATTATGCAAATTACGATGTTTATAGGGAATAAAAATATGTACCCGATTATTTCAATTTTTGGCTGTTGTGGGGTGGAAGATACAGAGACGGAAAGGTGGGAGGTGGTGGGGTATGGGAGATGTTGCTCGAGAAATGGAAAGATAGAGAATGTCTGTTGGAAAAAAATCCTGATTTTCTAAAAGAATGCAACTTAGCTTTCTCTTGTCGTTGTCGGTCTTTCTCGTCCGTATTCGAGAATAATGTTTTGACTCAAGAATAATTTATACACAATTCATATCATGACAAAATGAACTGCTTCAATCCTTCCAGTCAGCACAGCCCAGTTGGAATGTGAAACAGTATGCCATCAAATAATCACTAACACTCAAATGAGTAAGCTTGCCCACATTGAAAGTGAACTCGTGTCATTTGGATGCTAAGCAAAAGTAATGAGTTTTACACTACATCTGTCTTCTCTTCCTTCACAAGAACATTTTCCCTTATAGTTTTGTAGGATCAGCATGTATCCTGTGTTGCAGGCCCAATGACAAACCTCTCATCAAACTCAGTATTAATGTAATCAACTAGCAATATCTTATTATGAAAAATAACTTACAATGAGTGTTCCCTGGGGTGCAAAGATAACCATATTATTCTAGTTATTCGATCTTGTTTTTCTCTACTAGTAAGGCATTATGCCGGTAGCTTTCAAGAATAAACCAAGTGTCTGATTATTAAAACTAAATTTAGCTGCAGCAAGGAAAGAAAATAAATGGATTATGTCTACGCACTCAAAATTTATGTTCTTGAAATCTTAATGTATCCGCCCATCGAACTTTCTGTACTTGTGTATGCGGGTAGAACAACCTTTTTTTAAGTGTTAAATCGAAATTAGATATCCCACGCATAAAAATGTAGCTTCTTCTGATAAAGTGATAAAAAATAATGTTTATTTTCTGAAGCAGCCAATTGCTCTACTTTGTGAGAGTTTTTTACAAGTTGAAATCCCTTCACACACATGAACATTTAAACATACACATATACAGATGCAATATAAAATCATACAGAAAAATCAGTTCAGGTGAAGTGATGAAAATTGTGAAAGATGAGAAGAGATATTGATATTCATGGGGTCACGTTAGTATAACAAAATTTGAGTTGTTTTATGAAAGGAGGAAAATATTAATTTTATTTAATGTTTTCTTTATTTTTGGTTTTAGCCAATTTCTTAACCAGTGATAACGGAGCACGAAGACCTCAAGTTTCTGAGACTTAAAGACAAAACAGTTGGAGGCTGCCGCCATCTTACCAGCGTGTGACACAGGACTGCCCCAACTGGCCAGATATAATTCTCTCAGACTTCAGAACAAGAGAGCAATGACCAAACTGGCATAACAGTAAAATGTTTAAATCCTGGATTTTAACGCCGTGTCCCTGGCAACCTCCGCATCAACTCCCGGGTTAACAGCTCCTTTCGTCGGTGTGACATGCAAGGTAAGTTCATGTTTTACCTAATTACCGAAAA